TTATATACCGCGTTTTTATTTACGAGCGCTTAACTAGAGTTCTCTCTTCTCTGCTTAATTCCACGGTAGCTTTTATTCTTCCCTCACCTTGCAATTAAATACGTACTGATATTTGCACCGATTCTTTTTCTTTCAATCACGTTCGCCGTTTCGATTGCAAAATGGTCCACGCTACCATCCCCTTCTCTGAACGGTTATTAGTGCTGGAATCTGCGTACAGCTGGAGGCATCCAGCAACAGGAGAAGCAAAACATACCGGAAAAAGCGCGGACAGGGGAGGCGGAGGAGGAAGAGGAGGAGGAGGAGGAGGAGGTGTAGCAGCTTAGGATGGTTGACTTCACGTGTATTTTCTTTCTTCCTTTTTGCTCTTTCTTGTTCTCCCGTCTCCTGGTAAAACGTTTCTCTCGCATACACGCGCTCTGCTTGCCGCACGCCGCCGCCGCGCGCCGTAGCACCCATCTGCAAGGACACAGCCAGCCATACCTACATGCGGAACCACGCGCGCTCTCTCGCACGGCAAAACTTAACAAAACAATTTGCTCCAAAGCAAACAACGGCATCCGGTTTACTTGTGAATAAACAACATATTTATTTTTAGAGGCCCCACGGCCGTAACTCGTTTGCTCGGCCGCGAGGCTCGAGCCTCGCGTCTATTTGCTGGCATTACAAGACTTAACGGCTGAGGATAAAAATTGACGGGGCCACAAATACATACCGACCCGCGCGTGTTTGAGAATTTCTTAACCCTTTATACCACCGTTCGTTTGCCCGGCGAACCTCGTCGTTCGAACGATTCGACGACGCGTGTATGCGCGTTGTAATTTTAACGCCAGACCAGAAGGCTGTTACACTTTGCGTGAGAGGGACTTTAAAGCTTGATGTTTTCTAAATCACAGCTCTTACAGAAAAGATTACATTTTCTCTCGTGCTCTCTTTCCTTCATCGGATACTTGAAATTGAATTGAAAGCGTGAAGTCAATGCTAATTACGTCCGTGATTGCGTCACTGTCATGAATTATTTGCACGTACGGATCAGAGTATGTAAATAATGTAACACCCAAAGTCCAATCGTTTTAATTTCTAATCGCTGATACAATAAGATATTCCAGCTTAATGGTCTCTAAAATTATTCTCGTCATGCATCTTTGTAGGAAGAATAAATAATTCAGGAAACAAACACAACTGTCATTAATCATTCGGCAGCATGGATTCACGGGTTGTAATTAGCAGCAAATACAGTCGGCAGCATTCGTGCTGGTCCGGGATTAAAAGGAGTTCTAACCGCGACCTAATTCCAAGATAAGATAAGTCGTTAAGTGCATGGTGTGGCAGCCCCCTCGCGATACTACCCGGTGTTTTATTGCTACGCCCCACCCCCGCGGACTCTCCTTCGGGGCTTGGTGAGATTTATTGTAAAATTCGATAGATATTGCCAATTACAACCCCCGCGGCGCTCCGCTCTCTCGCCCTTCTCCTCGCCCGGCTCCCTGTTCTATCGACAGAGAGACAGGAGCCACCTTTCCCGGTTGCCTGGAGAATTTTAAATGCGTTTTATGTACAGAGACGACGCGGTGCGTTGCATAAATCCGTCCCCCTGAAAATATGATTACAATCACGGCCTCTCGAGCTCCTCCGCACTCCCTCCCAGCTTCTTCATCCCCTGTACAGACACGACCGGCCGATAAAACGTTTCATTTCGCCGGGAGATTGTCTTACGAGAAACTCCCAGAGTAATCTTCGTCGATCATCGTTTTTATTGCCGTCTTGTATACTAATTTTATATCCTTTTTACGTTTTCACGCGCCTGCGAATGGTTTCCGTGGCACCCGATACCGTCCGATAGTTCACTATCTTTTTCCAAAGACAATTTTTCAATTCCTTTAATGCGCGCGACTATAACGTACACGGGCACGCCTAACCAGCAGGAGCGTGCATAAAATAGGAAGAAAATCTTGCCCTGTTCGCTTGTTTCGAACATAAACTTTTATCGGTTCAGGCTGCAATATCATATAGTAGATGCTGTGTATTGCTTTTTGACCATCGTTCTCCGTATTTAAATTAACCAGTTTTTAATACTATATCGAGAAAATTTAAACTCATCAGATGGCTAATTTCACAGCACAATTTCTTTATTTTTAGTTGAGTTTTACTCGTCGACGAGATCCTCGTCAAGCCTGCCAAATCTAATCTATTACCCGATTCGCAATATTACTCGCTTATCGTCCATCATATCCGTGACCGATGCACGCTATCGATGCGTCGTCGAAATCGGGAAAGTTATGCACTTCCCACACGCTCCTCGCTCGTTAATCCACACATCTGTCCGCCGGCTAACAAATCCTGTCACAGCGTTTATGGTAATTGCGTCTTGTATCGAAAATGGAGTATGTAGGTCACAAGGAATAGTATAAATTATGAGCCGCTCATGTTCTCAATTCATTGTTTTATTTATTCTAATTAAATAATGTGAAAACAATCTAAAATTTATCTAACCAGTCGTACTTATAATCTAAACGCGTACATTATGGAATATATCGTAATTACGTTTAATCAATTATCACAGTGATAAGAAAGTGAAGAAACATAAATAATGGGAATACATGTTTAACATTTGAAATAGCATTGTATAATACTATTGGTTCCCTCCTCGAGTTATGAGGTGGTCCCTGCAGAGTCTTATTTACAATTAGGCAGTACACAGTCGAGGTGGATGCAACTACAACAGTAGCCGAAGAACACGGTTACATTGCCATGCGACGTACGACGCGACGTGGTCGCGTTGCGTGTTTTGTTTGCGCGTTTCTTTTGTCGCGTGTATGTCCAGCTGCGCGTCGAGACCGCGGCTGCCTCATGCAAATGAAGCGCACAATGTGCCTCAATAGCCGGCCGCGTATTTATATATGCTATCCGGTTCATTATTTTCCACTGCCACTGTTTATTTCTACCTTGTAGCGGGACACGCTCGCTGCTCCTTGCCGAGGAATAAACTGGCGAAATGACGGCGTATCGATCGTTACGTACACAGTATAATGTGGTACCAATGGTCAGCCTTAGCTATCCGTGAGAAAATCATTGACGTGTCGTACGGCAGCTCTTCTTTGAAATGGTAATTAATTCAGAAGCTCGGTGTCAATTGTGCAAGAATTTCTGTGATTCCACAGATCTAATTGCTCGTTTGCTCTTGATTTATCGTTTGGCTACGGTCGAATATTATTATAGCCGTATCTCTATTTATGGTTGTTACTTGGCTGCGTTTTCTAAATAAGTCGATCGCCAATTGTCTCTTATTATAGGTCGGAGTTTGATCATCGGCAGCGTCACTCTCGATAGATATATGTATGTATGTACGTATAGTAAGTGTTTCCCTCGTTACGATTCAGGGTTCCTCACCCACGTGGAAAACCGTGAGTAACACTCGGCTAGGCTAGATTGTGCAATTTCGACGAGGATAGAAATTTGGCTAATTATACCGAGGCGGAATAGGCACATAATTCGATTAAATCGGCACAGCTGCATTATCGCGTGCGCGGCCAACTTTCCCACTTGAACACACATGTGTTCGACAGGTCCGCAAGTTTTTTTTTCTACGCGGCAACTGATAGTGACTAAGCAGCATTTGAAAATTTCAGTAGAATTTCTTTAGCTCCGATTATCTATAAATGTGTACGTGAGAATCCAATTTATTTAAGTCACATTCTAACAAAATTGAAATAATCACATTCTTGGGTTTGTCACATGAAGGGCCATTAATTATGACATAAACTTGAATCAATATCATTTTACGTCTCCAACAACACAGTTAAATATTTCGTGTTAAACAGAAATATCAAAAGCCAAACCAACATTGATTATTTTTTCGAAACAGGGAAAATTTGACTTATATCTGCTTTTGACTTATATTCACAAACTCTGCATATTGTTCTGTGATTCCCCGTCGATCAATGTACAATGTTCCCGGTTATTTTGAGCGAACTGTCGGTATAAATAAGTGAACGTAATTATACCTGATGGAAATTCGGAGAATAATGTAAATAACTTGATAAGAATTGGATGAATTAGGATAAATCTAATAAACCGATTACAAATATAATGTCCAGGTTTCTAAAAGACGTTAGCATACAAATTATAGAGGATGAGTAAATCTGATAGCGTGCAAAAGTTTTCCCATAATTCAAACGAGTGAGGAAAATGGGATGACCAGAAAATCGCGTGGAACGGGGTTGGAAGAGTGCAAAATATCGAATCGTGCGAACGAATATTAATATAATCGCAGGGCGGCGAGCAAAAAAAATCCACGGACGAAGTAAAGAATGATATAATAGCCGGCCCGTAAGGGATGCGTCTGCGAGCGAGAGGGCGAGCCGGCCGAAGACGAAGTGTTCTCATTATACCGGCTGATTTATGCGCGTGCCACCTCTCGGCGTCGTCGCAGGATTCTAGGTTAGAAATAAAGTTAAAAGAAAAATAAGGCTTACGGGGTGCAAAGTCGAGAGGAAGGGGGCCGCGGAGGGTCGCGGAATATATTACAAAAATAAGCCCGGCGCGGCGCGTTGCGTGAAGGAGCATCGGAAAAAAGAGAAGTTCGAAAGTGCAAAAGTCCCGGAAAGATCGATGTCTCTTTTCCTCGCGACGGGCTTCGCTCGCTTGGCTCGCGAGGAAAATACCGTGGGAGGAATAAATATTTTCCGAGTCGGAGAGCAAAGTTCTTTCCTCGTGTTAATCAGTCGTTGTACTTCGCCTGCGTGAAATGTCGCGTTACCTTGAATTTCTGTGGCTCTTTGTCTTCGTGGAATTTTATGCGCGGCTATTATTGGATAATCAGTTTACTAAACGAACGTGAAAATTTAATTACGTTTCTTGTCGAGCCTACGCCTCGCTATTATCCTTAGTCAGAGTACCAGTATGGCGTGTTTCTTCTAGTAATTAATATTTATGAACGATGAACGATTGTTAATCTATTTTAAAGCAACTACGATACTGATCGTAAGGTTTCGTTTCAGGGACACATCGGTGAGAATCCGTTCGACAACGGTTCGTGGGGAAAGGAGCAATTCCAGCCATCGACGGTTCCTTGGCAGCTGAATCCGCGCGGCCACGCTCGTCCCAGTGTAAGTAGATAATGCTGTACATGCAATGACCGTGCACGAATGCGTACTATGCCTATTCTTCGGTTGAGCGTCGAAAAATAGATGAGTAAAAAAAAAAAAGAAGAATAAAAGGAGTGAATAAAAAAGGGGCGGGACGGAGGTAGGTGGATAGGGTAATTGTAAAGAAAGAACGTGCGAAGCAAAGCCACTTTGGAGAAGAATATAACGCGCAGTCAGAGTCCTGTCCGACACAAGGGCTCGGTGTCTGAAATTTGTAATTCCGGCTTGGATAAGAATACTATCCCTCGTCGGGAGGGTGAGTGACGACCGCGGAAAAAGAAATCCGGCCACTCATTGTGTCCGCAGGTAGCAAAAATGCTAGAGGGGCATCGTTGGCTGTTCTCCTCTGAGCATTTTCTTCTCTCTTTCGCTGGAGAAACGACACGGCCACTACTTCCTCGTCGCCGCCGTCGTCGTCGTCGTTGCTGCCAACCACCGACCAATCCCCACCCCTTCCTCGTTCTTTTACTTCTTCTGGCCCTGGCCCCGGTTGAAAACCACCCTCTTACTCGCCCGCGAAGCTCACTCTCCCGCACGGACTCGTCCTGTCACCCGGTATTTATAATACGCTTTGTTTTCCCTCGGCTATTTGTCTTGGGCTCTCGGTTCCTTCGCTAACGTTATTATCTCGCGTTTTATTTTTATTTAATTCCGGCCTGTGTCTGCGCGCCCTGCGCTCCGCAATTCATTCGTGCTGTTATTCTCTTTCTCTCTCGATGGACCACTCCGCCGACGCCCGGCGCCGTCGTTACTTATCCGTCGACGACCCTTAACGAGCGAAACGTGTCCTACGGTTTAGGGAAAACTTTGCGCTCCGTACCAAATTCCTCCTTTTTCATTCGTTAACCCCTCTCTCGTACTCCTACCGATTTCTCAGTCCCTCTACAAATTGGTAGTTATCGATAGGTGTAATAACAAAGATACGTTTACGCATTTTTTCGCATTCAAACGTAAAGTTGAATCAGTTTTTTCAATTTGATTGACCGTGCGCCGATCACCGTTTCTTATGTATATGCAATCGTTACATTATACACGGAATTTGCATCACAATGCGATTCGAACGTTCCGACGTTTTATTTCCGTATATACTCCGCGCGAATGGGCAACTTGATATATCGTCATTTAAAAGAAATGCACATTTCCACCAAATACCAAGATCGGTGTGACGTAAGGCTGTATTGTAACGCAAGTAATACACGGGTTGGTGAGGTTAAATAAACAGAGAATGACGTGCAATCTAAATCGTACACGATACGTGTGTACGTACCTATGTACGAAGAACGAACGTAACACGCGATTTCCGAGATGGTTAACGTAATGTAACCGTAGGTCGTCGTTGTATTTTAGCAACGATTTGCATGAAACCGGGATCCGGGCGCTATATCCGCGTTCGAGTATCGTCGACGTTAATTTTATCGAATTGTAACCGTATCGTCGTTCGCCTTATTGCGACACAATGTCTTCATTCACCGATGCTTATGCACACGATACAACGTGCGAAAATACACGGACACATACGCGTACGTACGTACTGTCGCACACACGTGTCACACGTTTGTGCACGCACAAGGACGACGAAGGAAAAACTAAATAATGTTTATCTTGGCTTTTACGTGCGATAGGGAAGCAAAGTCGATGCCGCCCACGCACGTAGCCCGGGTCTAGGAAAAAACCATTCGTGCCGCGTTGACCGTACGCGTGTATATGTGCGTCAAGCTTGTTTATTGAAATCGTTCCGTCTCGGCGTGTCAGTGCGCCAATACAACGCGCCGCAAATACAGTACGTATACTATACGGTTGTTGCACGCAATCCTATGGGCTGCTTAAGAACGGCCGTGCATCGCGATCAACGTTACCGTGTAATTTATTTTCTATTCCCGTTTTATCTCATTCAAGTCTCCGGCAGGTCGAATGAACTCCGATTACTTTCACTTCTAGGTCTAGATCTGGATAGCTGAAAAGTATTCAGCCAAAGTGGGTTCGAAAAGTTCTATCGCTTTTAATGTTAGACGTACTTTTGCTATAATTCATCCTAGAGCAAAGAAATCACCCATGGAGGGGAAATTATGTATGCGACGAGAAACACGTATCCCACAGCTTTCTAAGAAGCTGAGATACGCACACGTGTTGCCGAGAACGCGTCGTGATTCGACAAAACATACATATAATACATAAGGTACACGCGAAAAATGCTCACCGACTAGTGTACTCATACGCGTACTCGCATACTCACATACAAGAGTATGAGATCATCGGGCCCTGATTCTGCTTGTTGGAAACACTGACGTCAACCGTATCGGTTCGTTTGGCGAACGATTCCCGATACGATGATATTGAGAAAGGCTAACGCAGATCGTGCACGTGCAAATGTTAAACCTCGTCACTTCGTTCAATCCTGTTTCATTAGACATCATAACTATTGAGGTAAACTAGTCGTCCGGTCGTCCGTGCTTTCGCTGAACTATTATATTGCGACCGATAGGCAGGGCCGGTTGAACTCGGTGAATTTTACGTTCCTGAGATACTTATGGACATTAAATGGCTGAGAAAAATGTTTCTTGCGGTGCGTGGAAATATCGGCTGATTTAAAGGGAGGGTGAAACGGCACCACTCTCTAAATATAATCTCGAGCGCTGCTTTCTTCGTCCGTGGGCAATATGAATCGGGAGAAAAATCAGAACCGGATGACGGGGAATGGCGAATCTTAGCGGCGTCTCTCGCCGGCAACCCCTGGGTTTTAAGATATGCAGGGCGCAACGCACGCTTTCCTAGCGAGACTATTTTAATACGAATGAGAGGGACGGGGCAGATCGGCGCGCGCGCGTGCGCTGGTACGAGAGAGCCGCGCCAGAGAAGATCTACTTCTTGATTACAGAACTTTTTACCTAATTACATAACATTGTTACCATTTACAAAGTCGCCGTCGAGTGTACGTCGTCTGACTACTAATTAGAAGGCGCGATTAGCGAGAGGACCGTCGCAAGAGATCGCGTCCGCTACTACTACGTGTTCGATAAATTTCCCCTCGAGGCTCCGCGTCGCCGCCTCCTTTAATGAATTCCCCAAAAACTCCTTTGATCCTCGAAAATGGATAAGTGTAATCGCAAAGTGCTTTGTGTCTTTACGTTACCCGCACGTCTGCGGATACGACTTATCGAGTTCATGGACATAGATACAATTTATTGAAATCAGAGATAATACGGAAGTCCAAGTGCGACGTGCTCGAGTTTATCTGTAGAATCGTAGCGCTTATTATCGGAAAGGTGTAAGCTCATAGAGACGATAGTCCTGCGCAACGGACGCGTCCTCGACGATGCAGACATTAAGACGTCTGGTCCTCGACCTCTGTTTCCCACCCCTCTGGCTCGTCACCTCTTCTTTCCCCGTTTCCCATCCCCTGTTCGTTTGGTCTAGTCCGTTAGACGGCGCTGCTGGTTTACCCCGTCTTCATTGTCGTCTAATTCTCATCTGATCCTCACATTACGTAATTTTCTCTTTATTATTTTATAATTCTCGCGACTACACGGGCTGCCGTCGCTCGCGCTCATTGCCCACGTTTCTACGACGTTACAGCCCGCACGGACTCATCCCACGTTACGCATACTAATGCATTCCTCGCATTTGTTAATTATTCTCCGCTAGTTACCATGGCTTTTACCGTTGCCCCCGACGCTGTTCCTTCCTCCGGCTGCGCAATGATAGATTAAACCTCCTAGATTCGGCGACGGACGATGTACCTCACGTAGCCGACGTTTCTACGCCGGTCTCGCTTATCTCCGAAGATTTTTCACTGTTTCACCTAGTACGTTTCATTATTCGTCTACGTGGGATTTCTCTTTGGCATTAATCCCTTAGAAATGTTAATACCTGATCTTAATATTTAATGTATCACGTTGACGAAAGATTGTAAATCTAAAAAGTCTGGACTAATCTACGTTTTCATCCTGACGGAATTTTTTATGGCGAATTAATGGCCGATACCTCAGGGAATTTAATTCCTTCGTACCGTCGAGGCATTCCTTTTCATGGCAATCGCGAATGTTTAATTGGCTCGACCGAAAAGCAGCTACTGGCTACATTAATTGCACCGGATTGCCAGGGGTAGTTCAAGCAGGTGGCTGTCTAACCGTGGATCAGCCGGGGATGAGCGTGGTCGGTGGAAAAGGTGGCTCGCATTGAATGCTAAACAAAAGCTAATTTATATCCGGAGGTCGGGTTTTTGCCGGAGATCGGGAGATGAATGGCTATACTTCTTGCATACCAAGTGGCCCGTCAGGCCGTGGAAGACTGCGGAGTTAAAGATCCTGGGGGATGTTCCCTTTGGGATAGTCACTTGTATCCTCAAATCTTCCATTCATGTCGAAATGACGGCCTGCGTTTCGGGAATTTGTCAAGAATTACCACGTCGACACCCAATTGTCTATTGAGATCTTCTTTCGTTATTATCAATAACTAAACGAAATACCTTCGATGCAGTTGGTTCATCTTAAAATTTAATCACTAGCCAGCGGAATGGTGAAATGGTCGAATTAAAAGTTTCGAACAAACGATGAGGAACGAGCAGCGAGAATATTCCCTTTAGGGTTGCCGCCCTTAAAATTCAACCGAGAACGACCGTTCAATAATCATACATCCCCTTGAAGAACTCGACATCCCTATGCGAGGTACCCTTTCGATAATGAACGAACTTGCCGGTCGAAAATCAGCGGCCATTGTCATATAAACTTTTCACCGGGCAATCTCATTGCCATTTCGAATAAAAAATTCAATTTACACTTCTCCTTCCACTTACCGCGCGTATAAAAAAACTAGTTAGCGACAACAAAATAGACGTAACCATTCCCTCGACTGGCTTTCCCACGGAAGAATTTTGAAAGTGCGTCTCTCGGAGATACGGTAGTTTCTCGAAAGGGAAAAAGAAAAATGGGAAATAAGGGAAAAAATTACATCTCCCGTAGCTA